ACGCGGCCACTCGCTTTGCGGCCAGAGGTAACGTAAGCGGCCAGGCGGGTTCGTAGGCTGGAGACACACACCGATCGTCACCCCCAAAGGTCCCCCTGAGTCTCCGAGGTTCGCTTCTACATCCCCGGAGTCGTGCCCCCCTCCCCCTCAGCGCGGAGCCCCAGGCGGGGACACCCCGTATTGGACGTCCCCAAACCTCCGTGCACCTGGCTCAACCGGAGTCTCCCGTGTCGGGGCAGGGCAGGGCCACCGGCGGCGAGCCGGAGCCAGCCCAGCGCCCCGGCCCAGCCGAGTCCTCGGAGCCCACCCATGGGTCATCCCCTGCTCCGCGGGCCTCCTCGCCCTGTCGCGCTCAGCCCAGCTCCGGGCGCCGCGCGCAGGAGGATCCGTACGCAGTGACCCTGGAGCCTCCGCAGACGCCGGGAGACTCGGCGGCCGGAGCAGCAGGCGGTTCCCCGAACCTCCAGGAGCTTCCAGGAAGCCCTCCAAGTCGTGCTCGGGGTCCGTCCCGCTGTTCGCAGGTAAGGGAGACATCCCAAGGGAACAGAATAGCTAGCTAGGTGGAGTGGGGCAGCCGGCTCAGCAGAGGAACGCAAGCTTGGTGACGCTGGCATTTTATGACAAGGGAAACTTAAACTGATCCTAGAGTCTCTTGAGCTTCGGAGCATTTCTTGCAAGATTTCTTCGCTACAGGGGTTTCCTGTCCTCAGATGGCCGGTGTGTGGGACCTCTGAGCCTTTCACTCCCTTGTCCACCCCTATCACCAGTCTAGGAGGGATGAGGAAGGGTCTTGATTGTCCTGGACCTCCTGGGAGCTAGGCTAGGGTCTGGAGCAACGACCTGCTTTGGAGCCTCTAATTCAGGTTCCTCCTAAGCCCTAGAGGGACAAGATGGAGTCTCTACAAGTTCTTCACTGGGCTAGGAGCAGCCAGGTGGCCCACAGCTGCTCAGAGAGACTGCTCAAAGAGTCTTGTATTGGAAAGGCTTCTGGGTATCTGACTGTGCTGGGTTTGTTTCTATCCGATGTTTGACAGGTGAGCTAAGTGCGCAGACCAGATAGATCACTCAGAGTTTCTATGCTGGCACAGAGCAGAGCTAATCACTCAGAAACAGATGCCCCCCTGTTCTTTGCTCTCCTGACCTCCCCAGGATTCGAAGGGTGGCTTTGTAAAGCTCCTGGGACTCCCCAGAATATGAGGGAGGAGTCAGGACTACAGTGTGTCTGTCCTAAGAGGCTTGGGATGTGCACGCAGGGGGACCAATGGCAGGTGGTGTGGTGAACCTGGTTCTGGGGTGCACCCAAGGAACTCATCCTTACCCATCTGGACCTGCGCAACTCCCATCAAGCACTGGGGCAGACAAAAAGGAAGAAGTGAATGGCCCACAGTTGCACTGCCTGAGAGCTGGCTGGCAGGGTATGCAGAGTCCTGGGCAGGATGCCGGCCCCAGCTGCCTGGAGGGAGAGAGGGCTATGACATGGATCACAGGGTCATCCCTGCCCAGTGCCAGCTGGGGCTCCACTGAGTCAGAGCTGTTAGGAGAAGACTGTTCAAGCCACTAGAGGGGTGGGAGTGGCTTTTTGAAGAGGTCAGGTTTTACAGCTGAGGATCATGCTTGTAATCCAGGCATCTGCTGTTTGGACTCAGGCAGCACCTCACCTTTTCTGAGAAATAGTCTCCATCTGTCCCTGGAGGGCTTCTCATAGGAATAAAGCAGCCCCTTCATGACATGCCTGGGGTGCTGGGTAGTATTTCTGGGGAGAGCCTCACTCCTGTCTTTGAGGTACCTTCCAGTACCCTGCTTACATCCAGGTCCCTCTTAAATTCCATTCCCCACTTCTCTAGACCACCAGGCTTGACTGCTGGGAAGGAGGGCCTGCCCCATGCTGTCTGTCCTGTACACTAGGGGTCACCTCCCACCGTACACATGCTTTTCTGTCCAGGTCACTGTGGACTGTGCCAGCTGCCCACTGACAGTTCTTCTGGGTGGTGGAGTTCTGGTCCTAAGACCCTGATGTGCCCCACTGAATGCATACGACTATGCTTCAGAGTTGCTGTGCTATGCATACAGAAGGTGCTCAATAAGAGATCCCAGACATGAGAGAAATTGCAGATGGTTCTGCAGGCATCAGGCTCACCCAACCCTCTCCTTCCCCTGCCCTCATCCCCATGCTGGTGTTTAGGATCTGTCTTTCCCCACTGTGGGGTTAGCCAGGCTGGGAACAGAGGGAGATGGGCAGGCAGCAGAGGAGACTGCCCACAGGACCTTAGAGCTTCTCTCAGTCTCCTCTAGGGGTGGAGCCACAGAGGCCATGTCACCTGGCTTCCAGGTGTCTGGGTGCTTCACACAGCCCCACGTGGCTGAAGCCATGTGAAGAGACTGAGTCTGTCAGCCCAGCAGAGGAAGCCTTAAGTTCTCGTCTGTCTCTACCCATCTCTGATCCTCCGGCTCTTATTTCTAACTCCATGCTGAGCCGCTCCCTCCATGAGTCCTTTCTGATTTCCTCTGCCATTTCTCTTCCTTCATTCCTGTCCCTCCCTCCTCTCTCTGATTCCTTGCTGCCCTCTGACTCCCTCCTTTCAGTCCTGTGTATTGGGAGGCCTGGCTAGATGCTGGTGCAAGGAGGCATTGGAGGCAGACTGCATCCCTGTGGACTGCTGGCTCACTTCTTGCACTGCATCTAATGAGAAGCTGTCAGCAGCCCTCCTCCCTGCAGAAGGACTGGGTGGTGAAACTAAGCCACAGGTCTCCAGTGGTTCCTTCTCAGCACAGCCAGGGGCCAGGCAGGTAGATTGGGTGGAGGGAGAAGGCCTCATAGCCAGAGTGGGCCTGGGGACAGAGGAGTGAGAGGGTTGGGTGAGCCTGAGCAGAGTCAACTGCGATTTCTCTCATTCAGGGATCTCTTATTGAGTGTCTTCTGTATGCACAGCACTGCACCTCCAAAGCATAGACTCACAGGTATGCATTCAGAGGCACATCAGAGTCTTAGGACCTGAACACCACCACCCAGAAGAACTGTCAGTGGGCAGCTGGCACAGCCCACAGTGACCTGGAAGAAAAGCATGTGTATGGTGGGAGGTGACTCCTAGTGCAGGACAGACAGCATGGGGCAGGCCCTCCTTCCCAGGAACTTGACACTCTGTGCTTCAGCGCCCTCATCATCTGCCTCCTGGGTCACTGAGGGATGGAGCAGATGTATGCCTGGCACTCACAGCCCTGTGATGTATATTAGCTGCAAAATAAGTGTCAGCAGTGTTGTTGTTCTATACTTAGCGTGTGCTTGGCACGCTCCTGGCCTTGACCCAGGAGTGATGGTTCCGGTGCCAGGCCTGGGGTCCACAGTATGCTGAGCTGGCCTGTGTGTGTCTCTGACGTTCATTCTTGGAGGCCATGTTTCAAGCTGTGATTTGGGAGAATTTACATTGTGGAAATTGACAAAGGATACCAAGCGGGCTTTTAGGAAAGGTACAGGGCCTCAGGCTGACAGGCATGAGCAGAGTCAGTGCATACTCAGAGACTTGCACCCAGCATGATGTCACTCAGCCCAGGAGGCCGTCTCAGACCCCGGTCCCAGGATAGTGATAAGGATGATAGCAAATGGCTGGGGTACCCAGATGACGCTGCGGTCGGAGTCTCAGTGAGTACGGCACCTTTGTGTAACACAACTTAAGCCCATACGTTTTATGAGGACACTCTTTGCACTGGGATGCAGCCCCAAGTTGCCTACTAAAGGTATGGTTTGTGCAGTATCCAGCCTACATAACTTGTAGTGGCCAGCAAGGAACACCCATGTTTCTGCAGGTCTGTATCCATGTGCACTCCTGGGCTTAGCAAACTTTCCTTTGTATTGTTAGAGAGGTGGCATTTGGGATGGGCTCCACAGCCAGTGGAGATGGGTGCTAGGGAGAAGCTGACAGTAGAAAAGGTGTGGAAGCATAGCTGAGACTCCCCTGGGCCTGAGGGATCGATCCTAGGGTGCTGAAACAACAGAGGAAGGGGATGGCCCTTTGATAGCCCCGATGGAGCAGAAGCCTGCATAGTTCAGGAGGGGTCTAGAGCTTTTTACATGAGAAACTCCCACAGAAAATTTTGGGTTTCCCTCCAAACCCCAGAACCCCAGTCTTTGGAGTCATGATGCTTGAGACCTCTTCTCTCACTCAAGCTCAGGTTGTTCAGAGGCAGAAGTTACTGAAGCCAGTGGTGGACCATATGAGAGAAGGAGCTTACCATGATGCAAACCTTGGGTCCAGGGTGCATCCTGGGAGGTCACTAGGGGGTTGGTAGGGAAGTGGCCTGGACCTCGATTCCCTCCTTTCTATTAGAGCTGCAGAGCCACAGGACTCCTTAGTTTAAGAAACGTAGCCTAAGAACTGAGCCATGCATCAGAAGCTGAGGAGTAAGGAGTGCTCTATGAGAAGGCTGCCCCCTGGTGGTAGTGTCTGCTTTAGGAATTTCAGCTGTGCCACAGTTGAACAGGGTGGGAAGAGTGAGGCTCACAGGTATGGCTTTCTGCCCCAGTGAACAGCAAGGCTGTGACCCTGTGGTTGGTCCTGTGCAGTGAACAGCAAGGCTGTGACCCTGTTGTTGGCCCTGTGCAGTGAACAGCAAGGCTGTGATCTTGTGGTTGGCCCTGTGC